CGAGTACGGGGTAGTCGTCCGCATCAGGCCCGCCAGTGGGCGAGGAGTCCCCTTCCAGTCTCGGATGTTGATTGACATTATGAAATGCATTTCTCACATAATATTGAGGTCAACTTTTTTTAAAAAAAAAAAACGTTTCTTTTAACATGCCAAATTAAATTGCATTCTGAGAATAATCACCACTCGATAATATGTTATTCTTTTATATATGGCTTGATTTGAATTGCTAATACGTTACTAAATTTTTACATCTATATTCATGAGGAATACTGGTCCTCGCTTTCTTGTGAACTTTCTTTTCATAAATGAGTTGGAAAGGGTTCCATCTTCTATTTTCTGAGGGAGCTTATGTAATGTTGGTAGTATGTCTTTCCTAAACTTTTGATAAAATTCACCATTAACGTCGCCTGCGTCTGCAGTCGGCTTTGTAAGTGGGTTTTAAATATAAATACAAATACATTAGTAGATAAGATGTATTAATTTTGTATCATTTTTGGTATGTTACCATTTTCAAGGAATTTGCCAGTTTCATCTCTATTTTTATGATTATTGGAATACTGTTGTCCCTACTAATGCCCTATTAATGTCTGTAGGAGCTGTAGTGATGTCACCTGTTTCACTCCCAATATCTGTACTTTTCCTGTTCTTAAAAATAAGTCTAGGTAGAGGCTCATCAATGTTATTGGTTTTTTAAATATCACTTTTCATTTATTTCCTGTTTTTGTTCATTTTTTATTTCTTCTCATCTTCATTATTTCATTTCCTTTAGATATTTTGTTTTTATATTGTTTCTTTTCTCATTTCTTAATGTAGAAGCTTTGATGATTAATTTTAAAACTTTCTTATTCCCTGATATAAGCATTTAAAACCCTAAATTCCTCTCTCTGTCAGCTTTATCTGTACCCCGCAAATTTTGATATGCTCTGTTATCATTGAGTACAAAATGTTTTTAATTTCCAAGTATTTTGAGATTTTCTAGACATGTTTTTTATTGATTTCTAATTTAATTTTAGTTTGTTCAGAGCTCATAACCTGTACGACTTCAATCCTTTAAAATGTATTTTTATTCATTTTGGCCCTATATACAGTATATTTTGGCAAAGTTTTATGTGTACTTGGCAAGAATGTGTGTTTTGCTATTGTTGGGCAGAGTATTCAATGAGAACTAAGTTAATTGGGCTGTTAGCACTGTTCAAGTCTCCTGTGTCCTCACTGATTTTATATGGACCTATTCTTAGATAACTTAGAAGCTGAGAAATATCTAACTATACCTGTTGGTTTCTTTATTTCTCCATTAAATTCTGAGTATTTACTCTTCCAGTATTTGGAATTTGTTATTGGGTGCATATGCACTTAAAACTGCTGTGTCTTCTTAATGATTCTATCATTTATCCTTGTGAAAGTATATTTATCTCTTATGATATTTCCTCTTTCTGTAATCTTTATCTAGTAATTATATAGCCATTCCAGCTCTTGTATCAGTAAGAGTTCCATAACATAACTCGTCATCTTTCTGCTTTTTATATTTAAAATATATAAAAGGGGACATATGTAATACTTTCAACAGTAAAAATTTAATTTTAAAAAATCCTATATAATAAAAGGCTAATATGCAGATTGTCCCCTCGGAGTTCGACCAAGTGGGAGTTCGACTGACCGGGAGTTCAACCGCTCACTATAACATGCGCTGACCACCAGGGGGCAGTGCAGAACAAAGGAAGGCCCCAGCCAGAAGTGGGCAGCTGGGGGAAGGGGGCCCTGATGGGCCCTGATTACTGGCCAGGTCTAGGGACTCTACCCATGCACAAATTTCATGCACTGGGCCTCTAGTAATAAAATAAAATAAAATATACACATCATGAAGACAGCATAGAGTTATATTACATTTTTCCAGTATAATAATCTCTACCTTTTTGTTGCAATTTAGATAATTTACATTTAATGTACTCACTGATATGGTTAGGTTTAAGTCTACCATTTTATCATTTCTTTTTCTTCCCCATCTGTTCTTTCTTACCTTATTTATACTTTTCCTGTTTTTTACCATTACTTTGGGTTGATTGAGAAATTCTAGTGTTCATTTTCTCTCTCCCGCTGGCTTATTAGCAAAACCTTCTCTTTTGTTTGTTTTTTATTAGAGGTGACAGGGAATAGGCATAATTAAAATGTCTCAGTCGGCTTTCAAATAGTATACAGCTTTACACTTAATATAAGAAACAGACAACAGTTTACTTCAGTTTCCACTTCACTCCATTACATATTAGGAACTCCACAATTGTTCTTATTCTTCCTTATGACTTTGATGAATGGTCTGGAGTTAAATAAGGCCACTTTGGCCACCCAGCATTCAAACATCTTCGAGCTGTGTGGGCAACAGGAATTGTTCAGTTCACAGCCAACAGCCACACTCCGTCACTAGCTTTATGGAGTGCCACATGGTGGATGTGCAGCTTAATCTTCAGCCAGATGCGCAATGAGGATCCTATGAAACTCTCTGGACTTCCTCTGCTTCGCTTCTTCCTCTAAGGCAGTGGTTCTCAACCTGCCGAAAGCCGCGACCCTTTAACACAGCTCCTCATGTTGTGGGGACCCCCAATTTCATTGTGACAAAGTGAACATAATTAAAGCATCGTGGTTAATCACAAAAACAATATGTAATTATGTGTTTTCCAATGGTCTTAGGCGGCCCCTGTGAAAGGGCTGCGACCCGCAGGTTGAGAACCGCTGCTAAGGTGAACTGCTCTGCAAATTCAGCCACGTCACCTTGCTCAACTCTGACCTGTGTCCTCAGCTCAGCAAGGCTGCCACGCACCCCTGGGACCCACTCCTTGTGCCACAGTCTGGTAATACCTCCCGGGGGAATGGGTGAGCTGGTCACGGGGCCACCTAATTTGTTTCCTGTCCCTCAGGGACTGTGGTCTTAGATTCCAGTTAATGAAAGACTCCAAAATTTTGTTTTATATATTTTACCCAGTTTTCTACTTAATGGAGTAAAGATGAGTCTATATCACCTGATTTGTCACGGGTGGAAGTGGAATATAAATTATTTTATGCTTTTCTGTACCATCTCCTACTTTCTGTACCATATCCTACTTTTATTCAAATGTTTTCATTTGAAGTTATCTACTATTCTAATTATATATTTCAATTTTGAAGCCATAGCCCTCCAGTGTTTTTTGCACACTGTCTCTCGCAACGTTTTATTTATATATTCTTGCCTTTGTTTTTAACTTTTCTCTAACACCTGGTTTTCTGTATTTATGTTTTTTATTTTATTGCGGTTGGGTGAAGAATTTTTTTTCTTTTGTTCCTCGTTTATCTCACTTTAGCAATTGGTCATGGCATCTGTGCCTCACCCCACTTCCTGTTATTCTGCCATTCTATGGAAATCATTAGAGAGAAAAAGTATTGTCCGAATTACTTAAGGTAGGTAACAAGGACACAGCTCATCTACATCCAGATGCTGAAACTTCCATTTTCAGTGACTCCAGACAGAGCACCAAATCTCACACTTACTCAAACTTCTTCTTGCAAATGTGTGTTTCAAATTATCTTTTACTGGTTGGCTGACTTAAAGTAAACACACATGACGGAAAGTATTTGCAAGGATTCAGACACATAAAGAAGAAAATGAAACTCAACTCTAACTCAACAATAACCCAGGGATAATTACTGTTAAACTTTTGGAGTATTTTTTTCTTTACTCCAAGTTTAGTACAGAGATTGCTGGTTGTCTACCCAACAGCCAGTATTCCTCTGCTCACAGTCTCTGCTGGAAAAATTCTTGACCCTGTTCAGATAGTAGGTGACTATGTGCTCGGGGAACATAACTCCTCCCCACCTTCAGAAAGTGAGTGACAGCTTTGTCTCGTCCACTCTCATAGCCCAAGGCTAGTTTTGGCATGGACATATTGAACCATGGTCAATGGATGGCAAGGGCCAGTCTACTAGGGACTTATTTATGAAGGTGGATAGATGGATGGATGGATGGACGGACGGACGGATGGATGGATGGATGAATGGATGGATGGATATGGCTGGGTGTTGGGTTTTTGTTTTGTTTTTAACATCTTGACATGGCTGTGCATCCATGACACTGGCAATCACCTTGTGAGCAGCAGGAGGGACCAGGACAGTCAAATGGCAGAAAGGAAAGATGAGAGTGCTGAGTCCTCGAAAGGGTCTTGGGCTAACTCTACAGCCACCTATGTCCACAGGTCTTGCTGTGGATGACAGTAAACTCCTTATTACTAAGACACCCTAAGTTCACACATTGTTACTTGCATCTGAAAGCATGCTGCCTACTGCGTACTTTCTGTGGCTGTAACACTAGAGCCACAATTTGTAATGTAAATTTTACTTACACCATCATTACTTTTCCCTCTCACTAAACATTTCTTACAAACATGATTTTAAGCAGCCATGCAAGAACCTATATGGTGAGTATTCCATACCCCTCTCTGGAATATTTAGGGCTCCCCAATTTTGCTGATACGCACAATACTGTATGACCACCTTTTCATGTAAATCTTTATCTTCAGATTATTGAAGGCCAAAGTGTCGGACCCTCCTAAAATCCCCATGGGCGTTGCTCCTAAAATCCCCATGGGCGTTGCTCCTAAAATCCCCATGGGCGTTGCTCCTAAAATCCCCATGGGCATTGCTCCTAAAATCCCCATGGGCATTGCTCCTAAAATCCCCATGGGCGTTGCTCGCTGGTGGTGTGGGAGTACCCTCAGGGAGGTTATCGCTTTTCAGGCCTTGGCCCTGGCCAGCTGCAGTAGTCCCTTTCAGTAGTTTAATTTATATCTGCTTGATTCCCAGTGAGGCGGAATCCTTCTGGGAAAGGCGTTGGCTGGCTGGTGTCCCTGTGTGTGTCGCAGACTGTGAATCTCTGGCGGATGCTGCTTACTCATTGTTCCAAGGCACCGAAGCCTTTTCCTTACGTGAACGCTGCCCGAGGAGAGGCAGCTGCCCGCCCCCCGTCCGCTTTTCCTCACATGCTTCAGGCCGAAATCCAACTTCTCCACCTGAGGACAGCATCGCGGCACCTCCGGGCCATTGCTAACCCACACCTGCTCTACTCCCGTGGCCCGTTGCAAATCTTCATCACACTGCTGCATCTTCTTTTATGTTTCTCTCAAGAACACGAGTTCTATGTCATCTGTTTGTGCACAGTGCACCTCAATAATACTGCCTGGATGCATGGATGCATGATGGATGGATGCATGCATGCATGCATGATGCATGTGTGGATGGATGCATGGATGGATACATGCATGAATGGATGCATGGCTAGATGGATGAATGGAAGAATGGATGCATGTATGGATGGATAGATGCATGGATGGATGCATGGATGCATGGATGAATGCCTGGGTGGATGCATGGGATTCGTGCTGCTGCTGATAATGCCGAGGCTCCTGCCTCAGTGCTCACAGGTCTGAGGTGGGGACAACAGCAGGGATACTTGGTTCTTCATTGGAGAAGGAGCTTGGGAAACTGGCCAATATTCTTGGAAAATTTGAGGCCACATGAGGAGGCCAAGGGCAGAGGTGGAACTATGGGCCCTGAGCAGAGAGCACGGTTGGACGTGGACCCTGGCTGCGGCTCATGCTGAGTCAGACGGGCAGTGGTAGGTAGTCAGGACTCCATCGCCGCTCCCAGCAAAGCCACAGTCGGTGAGTCAGAGGACAGCGGGCAGGAAACACGGGCGAGACGAGCCGCCCACCCTCTGGCCTTCCTGGCCCTGGGATGCCCTGTCTGTGCCGCAGGCGGAGTGCCCAGGTCAGGAGCCTCGTTCCTGGGCCGCTCCACAATCTGCTTGCAAGGAAGCACGGACAGGTCCTCCAGGAGAACACGGACTCCGCGGCTCCGTCCGTCTTGGTGGGGCCTCGCTCGTCCCTGCTGCTCTTCCTGACGGAGTCACATGGGTGGGGACAGTGGCATGGGGGTTGGGGGCGTGGGTTTTGGCTTTGTGCCCCCTTGACAGTGAGAAATGGACACTTGCTCCTTCTCTGGACTATGGGAAAGCAAGATTAATGGGGTATGTTTCTTGATTCTAAGAAGTACTTTTAAATGTCACCCACAGGAAGGGAAATGGCATGTCGGCGACACGGTGAGCAGTGCCTCACACAGAGCCGAGCTTCCCACAAGGTCAACGGCGTATGGACATTTGCTCAGTGAGAGTCATTTTTATGTTTTCCTCTGGCACCGAATAGTTAAAAGAAAGCTGTTTTAAATTGCCAGCTTGTCTCATTTTCAAGAGTAATCGAGACCCAGAAATAACTGGATGAAATCTCTTTAAAAAATGTTTACAGAAACGAATTTTTCTGTAGCTCAGATAATGGGAAAGCAGTGTCGGTTTCTGCTTCAGATCTTTGTTTAATTTAATTCCACCAATCCCGTCCTCCGTGGGTTCATCACTGTCCAAACACATCATTTTATCTGCTTAGCGCTGATTATGGTATCGCCGCGCCGTGTACGCATGTCAAGCCCCGCAGCCGTGCTGGTGGGGAGCTGAGATGCTCCATTTCGGGGAGGAGGAGCCGCCTTGCCCTTCGCAGGTTCCTGACGATGATTCATTCTTCCCAGGGGAGGGTTGGGGAAGGGAGCGCACTCCCTGCTAGGCTGTCTCCCCCACAGAGCACAAAGCCATCGTTCAAACCACAAGACAGGAGGAGGGGGGCTCTCTAAGCACCCCAGGGGCGTCTGTAACCGAAAGAGCTGGCGGACAGCTTCCTGTCCGTTTCTACAATAAGCGGTGTCCTCCGAGCTTTGCCTGGTCAGGGGCAGACGACCAGGTGCCCTCCTGGCAGGTCTCTCTCCTCCCAGCTCTCCTGCCCCTTGGGCCTGGGCCTGCAGCTGTCTGCTCAGACCATGCTGGCGTCTCAGTGACCTTCATGGAATCCACTGTGTAACAAGCGATCCCCACATTCCATGGCTTGACACCATCAACGCTCATCTCCCTCGTGAACCCACGGGTTGGCCAGCTGCCCCTTTTGGTCTGGTGGGTGCTCACTCACTCATCTAGAGGCTGCAATGGTTTCCTCCCTCTGCCCCGTCCTCCCGCAGGTAGCAGGGACATGCTGCTACGGCCAAGGCTGACTGAGGGCAGCCTGAGATGACCTTCCCAGGCCTCCACTTGCTTCTGGTCTCTTCTTACAGAGCGCGTCCCGGCTGGTGTGGAGTCATCGCGGGAAGATGCCATGGGGATGGCGATGGACCCAACCAGTGCTGGGAACCCTCACAGCAGCATTCTCCTCTGGTGACTGTGGGTCCACCCTGACGACGTCCTTCCCCTCCCGCGGGCGGGATTGGTCCGAAGCAGTCGGGCATGGGAGAGAAAGCCCGCCTCTAGGGCATGGTCTCTGAGGCACCAAAGGGCTCAGCAACGCAGAGCAGCTGCCCCTTATCCTCGGGGGGGCCCTCGCCTGGACCAGAAGGCCCAGCCTCGGAACATGGCCACCACCTCAATGTTCAACAAGAGCGCAAGTGGGGGTAGTGGACCCTCAAGGGGAGAAGGGGTGAGGATAAGATGGAAATATGGGATGAGAGGGGACAGCCAAGGAAGGGCATCTCAGAGTGGGAAGCCAACCCGTAGGTGCCCGGTGGTGTGTCCTGAGACTGAGCCCCGACAGTGAGACAGGGACCCTGGAGGGACCCATCCCCTAGGCCCTGCCCTGCTGTCCCGCTGGCATGGCAACCTCATGTGCCTAGCCAAGCCCCCCCCCCCCCACGCCAGACTCCAGGAGAAGGGACACCATGTCTGTCCTCCAACTGGTTTCCAGGGGGCACGTCCTCTGTCACCGCCGGAGAAGTTCCCTTTGGATTCAGCTGCTGCCTTTGCTATTCCAGTCACGTGACCTGCGGCCCGCTTTCTGTCGCCACATGGCAGATGTGCTTCCAGCTCGTTAGGGTCACGGTGAGGAGTGGAGATCTTACCTGTAATCCACGTATGTTTCTGGGCACGTGGAGATGCACATGTATGTCCAGCATGTCGCATATAAAATGTCAATGGCACCCTGTTAGAACACCAACCCCACAGTGTCCTCGAGGCGCTGGGTGTGTCCTAGACTCGGGTGGTCCCGTGCTGTACCTTTGCTGTCACTGTTTAATAACATGGGTCCTGAGAGGTCCCAGGAGGCCCACCTGCTCAGGACGAGCACCGTGTCCTGAGATCGGCCTCGGCGTGACCTCGCTCTCCCACACCCGGCCTGGCAACGTTGGGGTCTTCTTAGATTAAAGGGAGCCTGGGTGCAGGGCGGGCACCAGGCCTATCAATGGGAGGTGGCATCAGTGTGGGCTTTGTCCAGCGTCACAGGCCGGCAGCGGGTGCTGAGCTAAGCCGAGAAAAGTCAATGAGTAAATATTTGCTAAACAATCCAACTTGTTCATTCAACAGCAGCTGTTCTTTGAACACCAGCGGGACCACCCCCCACAGGGTAGGTTAGAATCTTAGACCACCGACATCCACGTTAGACTTGGAGGAGCTCGAAGAGAGTGGGGGTGACGACAATTAACTGACTTCCTCCATCCCCTTCTCTCCTTCCTTCCCCCTCCCCTCCTTCCTTCCACCCCTCCCTCCTTCCTCTGACAAGGTCTTCCCAGGCCTCCGGCAGCTCAGGAGAGACACAGGGTGTGAAGACAAACCCAGCTGCAACTACGGCAGCAACTAGGAAAAACCTCATCTCTCTCTGCTGTTACGATGATTTACAACTTATCAAACACTCCGCAGCCTGACGTCATGTGATAGAAGTATTTCTGTAGCTGGTTGGAACGCAGTAAGTCTCTAAAAATTAAACTGCTCTGTTTGAAACCCAGAAGGCACAGGTGAGCGGTGACTTGCAGGAATTCACGGTGCAGACGCCACGCCTGGCAGACAGCCGATCGTGGCACCGGACCCGGCGCCTTCCCCCAGGTAGACAGGCTGTGGCCGGTCTGCCCTGTGGTCTGATCTCAGAGTAAGTGATGCGGTCACCTTCCAGGGAGCCTGCGTGCTCCGTCTTTATTACCGAGGGTCAGTGGTGCTCCCGGATGGGCCATACGGTGCCCTGTTTACCCACAGGCGCTGGGCTATTGTCAAGCCCGTTCCTCTCCAGAGCCCTCAGCTGTCCTCCAGCCAGGGTGCCCGGCTGAATGATGATGCATTGACACTCTCACCACTGAGGCAGCAAGACACCCAGAGGTGCAGCGGCCGCTGGGATAACAGAATTCGACTCGAAGACGGACGCATCGTGCGGCTGCGGTGAGCGTGTCTCTGTGTGCGTGAGACTTTTTATTGACCATAACTCTCGGCGGGCCGAGCTGCAGCTGTCCCTGCCGGGAGGGAAGGATCTCCTGACAACGTCTCACCATCTCTGCAGCAGCACCTGTTCCCAGAGGCGGGGCGGTGAGCTGGGGCTGTGCCGTGTGGAGGGCCACCTTTCTCCCCAGGTCCTGCCCGTCAGAGAGCCAGGTGGGAGCATGTCCACCCGCTGCCAGGGAACCCTGGGGTCTCACAGACCAACCAATGGCGCCTGTCTGGCTCAGAGTGAAGCCAAGGCCCTTATGTGGGCCAACCAGCCCTGCTCAGCCGGCCCTGGTCCCTCCCTCCCTCCCTCCATCACCTTCCCACAAGCCCAGCTCCACGCAGCCTCCTTGCTGTCCCTCTCAACTGCCCAGCCCGCGCTCACTCACCGGAGCTGAGCCCTTACTGCGCCCAGGGCTCACCTCCTGCACATCTGCTTAGTGTCCCCAGAGCTTTTGCCACCTAATGGGTCACAGCTTCCCATCGTTTCTCTCCACGCCCTGGGAGGAAAGCTCTAAGGGAGGACAGGGGCTTCGTGGCGGTGGTGTTCTTTGCCTTCAAACATGACGCATATATTACCTCCCGTGAGTCACAGGTGAGCCTAGGGCTCTGTGACCTGGGCCAGTCCGGCTGACTTTGGCAGGACTCATCTGTGCCCCTCTTGGGAGGCAGAGGTTTCTTACTGTCCTTCCTTCCCTGGTGTGTCTTCAGCCCCTGGGACAGCACCAGGTGCAGAGCGGGGAGCTCAGTGACCCTTTGCTGATGAAGGAACCCCAGGCTCGGGATGGGCACTGCACCAGGAGCTTTTCTCTGCGACCCAACTTGATGGCATCG